ATGCTGTCTATAGTTCTAACTTGAGGATGCGATGCTATAGTAGTAAATGCATGCTCGCTCTCTAGCTCTAACTCAGCGTGGACCACAGCGTGCGGAGGAGGAGGAAAGCGCATGCTGTCTATAGTTCTGGGCGGTTGCAATCACGACGCTCTCAGGAAGCTCGATTATAGTCCGCTTAGCAAAAACATAGATGATGCACATAGTGTACCATCTATGTTTTTGCGAGGCTGGCCAGGTCACTTTGTGCAAAAATCTTTTGTCAAAGCGGCGGCCAGTAATTGTCTTCCTCAACAGAGAACGGAGACTCCTCAAACAAACAAATCGTTGTTTTAGGAGAGGACGTCGAAAACTTCTCTCTTTTGTGTACGGGCATATACAAATGCTGAAGTACAAAATGCGTCACCGATTGCTCTCGACAAGCAACTAAGGCTAGTCGACCCGAAGTGAATGCAATGTGTATTTGAACGGAAACTTGCAATCACAAGTGCGGATGTGTGTACCTTCACGCGGTGGGGCTGAAAACGCTGTCTCTGTAAAGAAACAGTAGGCAAAACACACACCGCTTGCCCCCAGGGCAATAGGCCAACCGGCCAAACAAAAGAAACAACACGGACCATGACAACACGTGGTGAGGTGCGGCCTGTAAACGCCCAAACATTCAACGCGGAGTCTACCACACCCCAAGAGCTCAACTCGAGCCCAGAAGAGCCAAAATCCGGGAGTCACTTGAGGGGAAATCCCTTAGAATTGTGGTACCGCGCGCCCTCTTAGAGGACGGGAGACCGCTCCGGGAGCTAGTTGCAGAGGACCAATGGTCCCGGCAATCCGAATTTAATTCGGGTAGATAAGAAATTACTTCCTATCAACTGGCAATCAGTAGGTGCCACTACTGTGGGTAAAGAGTCGCAGCCGTGATCATAGCAGCCACCCAAAGTTCTTTGCCTCGAGCTCCTGGAGTAAGGCCCGACACCTTTGTGCGAGAGAACAGTCCATTGGGCCGAGTAACTCACGATGACTAGAACGCACTACGGATGCCGAAACCCTTAGGAAAAATATTTCCACAGAAGGGCAGCATCCTTCCTGCTAAGGAATTGCTTAAGCCCTAATAGCTAAAACAACTTTACATTTGAAAGCGAAATTAGTGGCTGTCAGCTCCCATTGAAAGCGAAAACCATGCACTAAACGTCCATCAGATCCAGTGCTGCTAATGGTGAACACAGGCTAAGATGATAGAAAAAGGTGGAAACCCGACATGCTCACTCAAATGCTACTTTGGTTGCAATTCGTCAAACACCTAACCTTGACCTGACCAAACGAAGTTTGATTAATATCAAATACAGCGTGAAAGATAAACACGCTGGTACACTCATAAGTAGTTTTAAGTTATATTATAATCAAATTAGTTCTTAAGCAGTTAACAATAATTTAAGCAGTAATATAAGCAGTAGTATAAAAATAGGATTAAGAAAAGTTACCAATCAAAAATCAATTAAAAATTAAAAATAAGAAAGAATTAGAGATTACAGATTTAAAATTATAGATTTAAATTATTAAATCAAATCAAAAGAAATAAAATCATAATAATTAAATAATCTAATAACAGATTAAAAAGCTAGGAAAATAATTAGCTCAATCAATCAATTGTAAATATAAGAGCTGTAGGAAACTATGGAGAAACCCGACAAGGTAACGAACGAAGCTGAAGTCAACACACACAAACATACTCACTGCTCACACTCGAACGCCACTCGCTTAATTTGAACGCGCACGTTAACGCCAGAACTAAAAATCGAAAGCCACCCTCCAGAATCGCCAGCAGTTATCCCAAAGGAGGAAATATATAACTAGACATTGTGTTGTACCTGGAAAGTGATATGGTCAACAATTCTAGGTATAAAAGGGGGAGGAAACGTAAGCAGGAGGCGACCGTTGAGAAATTAGAGCACTGCTCTAATACTCCGGCGTCAACTCACTTTCCTTCGCAACCAAACAATCTTGACGGTAGCAAAGACGATTGCCCACCAGTTACGAGGTTCAACTTGAACGTACAACAAAACCCTGAACTGGGCCTGAAACTAAGAATCATACAATGGAACCTCAACAAAAGGCAAGTAGCCAACGATGAGCTGGGAAAAATCATGACAGACAGAAATCTTGATATACAGGTGGCACTGGTGCAAGAACCATATCACTGGAATAACGCCATTTCAGGTATGGACAGCATCGCAGCTATTCATGGAGCCAAAAAAGGCGAAAAGATTCAAGCTGCGATACTTTACAATCCGTACAAAGTCACTGCTACCAAGATTTCTAATCTGTGTGACTCCCACTGTGTTTGTGCACAAGTAGTCGGACCCTTTGGTGAGATTTATTTCATAAGCATCTACTGCCAGTTCAGCCACAGCAGGAATCTTGACAAACTAGCTGAGACTCTCAAGCAATTGAAAGGCTAAAGAGTCTTAGTTGGAATGGACGCAAATGCCAAGTCAAAGATCTGGTCTAATACACAGGAAAAGAATGGAACAGTCATTGAAGAATTCATAGACCAATACGGGCTAATTGTGGCCAACAGGAGGGACCCAACTTCCAACGTGCCGAGTACAGGGGGTGAGACGGACATCAATCTAACTTTACATACATCAAATCTGTCAAACCTCTTGGCTAGCTGGGCGGTGAAAGAATGGACCACCAGTGACCACAGGCCCATAGTGATCGAACTGAATTTTGCCTCATAGCCAGCCAGACTCATACGAACCGAAGAAACATTAAAACCAAGGTTCAATATGAGAAAAGCTGATTGTGAGAAATTCGGGAGACTTTATAAATTCGAGAAAGAGAACCTAGAGATTATGCGAAGACCAACTGCGTATCTGTGGAGAAATAGAAAGCGAAAGTCATACTGTCTTTAACTGCGAAGATGTAAGGGAACTAAAAAAGTCATTAATAGAGGCCGTTGAAGAGGAGGGCCATACATGGCCATGCCCGGAAACAGCCCTAGTATCTAGCAGGAAAATCTACAAAGCCTTTGAAGACTTTGCTAGAAAAGTCATAGAGCCCAGGGAAGGAGCACCTATAAGAAAGAGAAAGCTTAGAAAAATAGTTACAAACTATGGTAGAAAGACACCGCCTCTTACAAGGTCCCTAACCAAAGGACCAAGACTCGCACAATAACCTAATTTTTAAACCTACACAAGCATATAAGCTTAAAATTTGAACGATAATTTTGAACATTGAATTTCAGAAATAAACTCTGAAGTTCGACAATTTGAACGCGAATTACCCTATTTAACCTGATATCGGAGTTTTGAATTGAATATGTGGCATGACGGGCATGAATATTGAAAACTGCCTGGGGATTCGCCTTGTCGGCTAGATGAGACCCCGCCCTGACCGAAAAGTCAAAACACCAAATCGAAAGAATAAATACCAGTATCAGCCAGTCATAAAAGCCGCTCTTTTGAAAGCGGAATCCGACGTTGGGATGAAACCGGGAAACAACCTTTTCGAATGACGGATACCCACCAGCATGAGCGGGGATGACCGTAACGCAATGGAAAGACGTGCCTAGGTACGTCGAAACGATGGACCTGTGAGTCGTGGGAGAAATCCCTTAATACAGGAACGCAGGGTAGGATGACCTTCGAACGCAAGCCCAGGAGGGGAGGCTTAGCTGGTTGATCGTCTTAGGAATTTCCTCTGGATGTCCTGGCTGAGTCTCTCTTCTGACATCCCAATTTGGGTTGGCCTCTGCGGGGTAGTCGTACCAGGTCAAGCAAATCTCGTAAGATTTGTATGCTGCGTGCTTCCGACGCGGCAGACGTCGGGGCAACTAGAGTCCCGTCGCGCCCAAACCGAGGGTCAAGCCTTTAGTTCCGCTCTCCTTGAGCGTTGAACCTTGAAAAGATCGGTACTCCTTTCGAGGAGGTCGCCGCCTTAGATTAAAATGGTTCCGACTCGCTGTGTGCGTCAGGGATGTCGTAGCAAACTTGACTTCCGGATCTCCAAAAATGTTTGAAAGCTAAGGAGTGAAAGACAGTGGGCTATGCCAACCTGTTGGTGCCCAGCGAGAAGGGTGATAATGTTTGATTACGCTGTGCCTCCCTCAAATCGAAAAAGTATGACACACACAAACACTAACTGTTTATAGTTCTGGCCTGATGGGGATGCGCTACTATAGTAGTAGTAAATGTGTGCTCTCTCTCTCTCTCTCTCTCTCTCTCTTTCTCTCTCCTACGCTCTAACTCAGCGTGGACCACAGCGCGCGGAGGAGTAGGGGAGCGCATGTGCAGCTATGCTTACTGCTTACCCTTTTATCTTAAGTTAACTATGTCTATCACAAATGTAGATCACAGCTGGTTTGAGGGTGATCAAGCTTCTCCACTACTTTCTGGAATAGAGAAAAAGAGAGCAGCTATGTTTTGTTACCAACCCTCTTTATCTTATACTCATATTGTAGAAAAATATTATCTGTTAATATTACAAGCGTTCGGTAGGATTTTCGACGGTCAGTCTCAAGGCAAACTTCGAGTTGGTCATAGTACATTGTGAAATTGGTTTTTCTGTTTATTTGTGTAAAAAAATTTTTGTTAGTGAAAATGGAAAATATAGTTAATGTCTGTCAGCTTCTAGAAACCATAAGTAATTATTTTTAAAATTAAAAATAATTATATATATGTATAATTTTAATAATTTTTAGTTATAATTTATAGAATACTAATGCTATCCCGCGTGAGCTGCTGTATCGGCTGCTCATTGTCCTTTTAAACAAAGTAAGTTCTTTTTTATATTATTTAATATTTAATATTTAAATATTTATTTATTTATTTTCAGTTGCTCAGGTGTGTAGGCAACACACAACACGTTGCCCAACTCACTCAGATAATTGCGGTCGTTCGTGAAGTAAGTTTATTATAATTATTATTATTTAATTCTATACATGTACTTATACAGATTTTTTATTTTTCAGTGGATCAAAGAATCATTGACTGAAAGGCTGGTCGCGCAACAATTAGCCTATAAAATTGAAAAGACCGTAGAAGATCAAGTGAGGGCCCAGCTATGTCGCCAGAAGTGCGCAGAAATAATGAGAAAAAAACAAGAATTCTTACGATTAGAGCGCAAGAGAAAAGCTGAGCTGACCAAGACTGTGCAGGATAAATTAGCGGACAAAATAAAAAAAAGATTAGTTCCAGTAAAATCATCGTCATCGGCGGCGCCCTCATCTACAACATCATCTTCAGGATCGGAGACGTTGTCCTCGTCGTCTACGTCTGCATCGTCTACGTCTGCGATTTCTGCGTCGTCTATATCTACGACGTCTACGTCTGCGTCATCTACGTCTACGTCTACCACATCTGCGTCTGCAACATCATCGATGCCTTCGCTTGACATTTTGCAACATGATGAGGCAATTGATTTGTCTACTAAGGTAAGAAAACACTTATATTTATTATAAAATTTATATATTTTATGAGTTTATTTTAATCAAAATTAATTAATATTTTTAATATTTTTACAGAGAACTGTGCCGAAGAAGCCACAAATCAAGAGTAGTGAGGCTATTCGCTGTAGAATAATTATGATTCCGACTGAACCGACAACGAGAAAGCCGACTCGACTCCTCAAGGTAGTAGGAACGCATAAGAAGAAAGAAGACAAAATAAAATAAAATAATATTGTTTTTGTAATAATTAATATAAATTTTGAATAAAATAAATTAAACTAAATAAAATGCTTTATTTTTTTTTAATTAGAGAGAGGGAGAGAAAGAAGTGAGAGAGTGAGAAAACTAGTGGTAGAGAGATGGAGAGAGAGGGAGAGAGAGAGAGAGAGTTACATATACTGATATGATTAGGTATTAAGTAAAGATGTTAAAAACATTTAAGATAGTAGGTACGCGTCCCGGGTCGTAGCAATATAGGAAACAAACGGGAACGGAAACTCGATCATTCCCTTTCGAATCGGGACACTTGCCCCGCATGTGTTGCTCGTTAGCAACAGACGGCGGCGGGGAAAACCTAATGAGGGTTCGCACGTTCGGGGAAAAAACCCATTTCCCTGGCAGTCGAAAGGAAAAATCCAGGCCCAAAAATAGAAACACGCGTTTGGCTCTCGGTTATTTTGTACGATGCGTTTAATTTTAAGATTGTAATGCGGTATTTCTAACTCACGAATTGATTAATTTGCCAAATCCGAACGCGAGCCTCTCTCATAGCTCTACGCTCCATTGACGTGCACAGGCGCCTAAGCGTTTCTGTGGCCGTAAAGCCCTGACAGATTCGCAGAGTTTGCTCGTGAAGGCTGTAGACCTTTCCAGAAAACTTCGGTTTTCAAAATATAGGTCACTATGACGGAAAGGGAAGGCTATTAGGCTGACCCGTGGACCGGTAGGCTACCAAGCGGAAGAGTGAGCGAGACAGAGCGAGCGTAAGGAGGGTGTGGCTAATGCGGGCGCGATGGATCAGGCCCAATGAGGCCAACGACTCGATGCAGCCCCGGCGGGGGCGAGAGTAGGGAGGATGGAATAAAGAAGCGACTCGACTCAGACCGATCTTCAATTTTTGCTTGTCACGCATAGAAAATAGGCAGACTTTGTTCAGAGTGTTGTTAATAAAATATCATTAAAACAAAAAGAAGTTCTTTGGATCAATCAACCTACAAACCCCTTTCTGCTCACTCCCGTCCCTTTCAAAAGACATACAAGTATATTTAAAATTAGATGCTTTTATTCATAAAATTTAACGTGACGTACTGTATGTTACATATTTTAATTTATTTAGCTTATATTTAATTGTATTAATTCTAATTTATTTAGAGAGTCAACTATATTAAACTAATTTCTTCACATCACCGCAGATAGGATCTGCCAGTGGGCCCTCCGACAGAGTGCCTTCCCCAACCACCCATCCACCTACTCCACCCACCCACACCCTCCCGCCCACCCACACCCACCTACAGAGGTTATTAAGGTAGGATGCTGTAGAAGTTGGTAGGATGTTTGGTAAGCTATATGATGGTCTCTCTCACTCTCCTTCGATAGTAGGGCACTTAGTAAGCTTATGCTGGCTAAGTTTGGGCCCTCGGAGAGGGGGTAGCGTCTTTAGCTTGCTAGGCGCGTACGCCGTATGGTGTGGATGCTGTTCTCTCTCTCTCTCTCTATAATTATAGGTAGTTTGTATTAAATTCTAACATTATATATAGTGTGTATATATATATATATATAATTTTAATTTTTTATTGAAAAGCATTGTGTACATTGATCACATAATGTCTTGTTAATTTGAAACTAATTTTGTAACATCACCACTAATTGGATTATATTGTACAATACGATCGTGTAATACTACTGTGGGCAAAAAGTAAGGTGAATTTTCAATTTAAACTTCGCGGGCTTAACATTTCGGGCTAGTTCTTTTTTTCTTGAGTTGGTAGGACTGCGAATGACATCTGGGACAAATTTCATGTCAATGTCATCATCAGTAATATATTTACGCTTGTGTTTACGAAACGACCAAGAATGCATGTTTCGATGTTTACAATGTCTGATTTAATTGAGCAAAGAAGTGCCATCAAATTTTGTTTGCGGAATGAAATTTCGGCTGCGGAAACGTTGAGGATGTTGCGGAAGGCCTTTGGTGATTCTACCATGTCGCAGAAAAATGTTTATAAGTGGTACAAAGACTTCAAAGAGGGTCGAGAACGTGTTGATGACTTGGAGCGCTCCGGACGGCCATCGACGTCAACAGATGACCAACACGTCAATAAAGTGAAGGAATTAGTGCTCGAAAATCGTCGGTTGACTGTTAGAGACCTTACTGATATGATCGGAATATCAGAAGGATCTGTGAAAACAATTTTGAAAGACCATTTGGGCCTACGAAAAGTCAAATCTCGTTTGGTACCGAAAACGCTCAATTTCTTGCAAAAAATTCGCCAAAAATTCGACGCATATCGTTCCGCAACCACCGTATTCGCCTGATTTGGCTCCGTGTGACTTCTGGCTATTCCCAAAACTCAAGAGACCACTCCAGGGAACGCGTTTCGAGTCGATTGAGGAGATAAGAGCTGAATCGAAAAAGGCGCTGATGGCTATACCGGAAAGGGACTATTTGGCATGTTTCGAGGATTGGAAAAAACGTTGGCATAAGTGTATTTTATCGGGAGGGGATTACTTCGAAGGGATGACATTGATGTAGAAGAATAAATAAAGATTTTTCATTTTACAAACAAATTCACTTTACTTTTTGCCCACAGTAGTATTAAGCAGTAGGCTGCAGTATCTTCAGGAAAATCGGTCAGAGTTTCAAATTCTAGGCGAACATCGACTGAGGTGCTTTTTAATGTTTCATTTTGTTTAGAGCACTCTATAACTATTAGCGGCACTTTATTAATAAAATCCTTTTTATTGAGTAACGGCTCGTTTTCTTTACCATAGTAAGCGTTTTGAAAATTAGTATACATATCGTAGAGAACAGCAAACAGATTTCGATTGATATTTAAATTGAGATTTCCATACGGATAGCATTGTGAATTGAGGAATAGCTTCACATTACTAATATTACAATGATCAAAATTACTAGAATTAACACTCGCTGAATTTTTACGTTTAGTTTGAAAAGCTAAAATAACAAAGCGAGGCTTTTCCAATTGATTGGAAGTCTTAACACTCCAAACATGCTTTGATGTACGACGTAATTTTGGATACTCTTACATTTCCCAAGTACGATAAGTCATAGTAATTGCACGATCTCGTCCAATCTGATTGAGTAATTTGATTTTTTCTTTTTATGCAACCATCACATATGGCATCAACCATTCAACCTTAGTTAAAGTAATTTTTTATTTTTCTGAAGCATCAGGATACCTTACTGGAATACTCAAAATAGCATTCAAATCATCTTTTGATCTTGTGAGAACAAGTTCATGCCTAACATTGACTACAATTTTCCGATAATCTTCAGCAAAGCCCAGAAACATACTGAGAGGGATAGTCAGATCAAAAAAACCTAGAGCGTTACATATTTGAAACTTCATTGATATCATCATTCTATCCGGCATTTTCAGCGATAGAGCTTTGAAATGGATTGAGTGAAAGCCAATTTTTCATGAGGCTCGTTAAGCCAAAATTTTTCACTTTATCAATTTCAATAGCATTTATTTCATATCGTATTTCCTCGAACAAATAACAGAGGGCGTTGTTGACTATTAAAGTGTTCTCCACTGGTGTAGTACCGTCCGGCTTGGTCAACCGACCACAAATATGAGTCATACTGCGTGATGGAAGCAGAGATAAATCTTGATGTTGAATTGCTATATGGATTTCATCACTATTATTGAAATATGATAATGAATAAGGCTGATGCGTATGAAATTCATAATGAGCTATAAACTCATCGAAAGCGACACCTGAATGAATGTCTAGAATTCCCTCTATATTTTTGATGTTGTTTTACGAGGTGTGTTCAAAAAGTAACGAGAATTTTTAAATTTCGCTGGTTTGGAGAGTCCGCTTGTATAAAATTTTTTTTATTATGTTGGTACACATGCCCCTGAAGTACGATAAAATTTTCAGCAATATTCATTGCTTACTTTTTAAGTGGCAGCCGCTAACGTTAGACGTGTTTTTCGAGCTCGGCGATTTTCGTTTGTGAAAAAAAATGGATCAAAGAATTTGTATTAAATTTTGCGTAAAAAATGAAATAAAGTGTAGTAAAGTTTGTCAAATGTTAACAAAGGCATATAGTGAGTCTGCTATGAGTAAAGCAAGGATTTATGAGTGGTATAAGCGTTTCCAAGATGGCCACGAAAACGTTGAAGATGACGAACGACCCGGACGCTCAAGCACATCAACAACCGATGAAAACGTGAAAAAAGTGAAAGAAATGGTTATGAACGATCACCGAATCACAATCAGAGAAGTCGCTGATGATGTTGGCATATCAGTTGGCTCATGCCATCAAATTTTTTCGAATGTTTTGGGTATGAAACGTGTGGCAGCAAAATTCGTTCCAAAATTGTTGAATTTCGAACAAAAACAGCGGCGAATGGAAGTTGCTCAGGAGTCGATAAATGAAGTCAATAACGATGCAGAACTACTAAAACGTGTTATAATAGGTGACGAAACATGGGTTTACGGATATGATGTCGAAACTAAGGCTCAATCGTCCCAGTGGAGGCATTCTGGATCGCCAAGACCGAAAAAGGCTCGACAAGTGCGGTCGAATTTGAAAGGTTATGCTCACTGTGTTCTTCGATTTTAATGGCATAGTGCATTATGAATTCTTGCCACAAGGTCAAACAATCAATAAGCAGTACTACCTACAAGTTCAACGTCGTTTGCGTGAAGCAATCCGAAAAAAAC